GGAGTTGAAGAAGAAATTGAGGAAAAGTGAAAAAGAGTTGAGGAAGAAACCCAATCCTATTTATAGAGAATGGGATGGATGTCAGCCGTTGGATTAAAGGAAAACCAACGACCGTGATAAGGCACAGAATACGAGGAGTCAGCGGTTGGCATGACGCGCGTCACTGAAAGGATTTGAAGTTCGAAATGTATAAAGGCGGCACTGTCAGCCATATCTTGAATAAATAATCGTTAATTGGGAAGATTCGACCCAAATAGTAAGACATGAGAGGTAGCCGAGGAAGTCGGGTATCTTAAAGTCGAGAAGAGATAATGACCGCCCTCCTTTTCCGCATTGATTTCACCACAATAGCCAGAGTATCGGAATTTTTGAAACGGCTATATAGCTGGTCAACTCGGCTCGACTTCGACCAGCTCGCAAAACGGGTTGGGAGAAGACGACTCGAAAAACTTAAGTTTAACAGCTATGATGCTGTTAAAATTGTTGCTCGACTTCGACCAGCTCGCAAAACGGGTTGGGAGAGGACGATAAGTTTAACAGCTATGATGCTGTTAAAATTGTTGCTCGACTTCGACCAGCTCGCAAAACGGGTTGGGAGAGGACGACTCGAAAAACTTAAGTTTAACAGCTATGATGCTGGTAAAATTGTTGCTCGACTTCGACCAGCTCGCAAAACGGGTTGGGAGAGGACGACTCGAAAAACTTAAGTTTAACAGCTATGATGCTGTTAAAATTGTTGCTCGACTTCGACCAGCTCGCAAAACGGGTTGGGAAAGGACGACTCGAAAAACTTAAGTTTAACAGCTATGATGCTGTTAAAATTGTTGTTCGACTTCGACCAGCTCGCAAAACGGGTTGGGAGAGGACGACTCGAAAAACTTAAGTTTAACAGCTATGATGCTGTTAAAATTGTTGCTCGACTTCGACCAGCTCGCAAAATGGGTTGGGAGAGGACAGTAAGGTAAAGGAGGAAAAACAAACATGAAAATAAAAAGCCACAACCACGAGAAGACGACGATATGAAAACAACACAATTAAGTATTATAATTGAAGGAAATTCATTACATCCGACGCCGTCTCATCCTTTACAGAGGGAAAATAGGATGAGATTGTAAGAGCAAAAAGAAAAAGTACAAACAGAAGCAAAAGAAAAAAATATATAACATAATCTAAGCCCGCTGGGAGTCGGCCGTCGACTTCTCGGCGGCATCTTCGCCCCCATCGCCGATTGGCTCGGTCCGAGCACCTCTCTCCTCTACAATTGGATCCGTGTTAGGCCGATCGACTTCAATCTCCTCGTCGAGCGGCTCATCCTCGAAGTTCGCACCACTCGGCTCGACCAATTCGACAGGGCCGACCAGAGGAAGTGGCGGAACCTCAAGCTGAGAAGATAGCCCAGCCGAGTGGATGGCCTTGGCCGCCAGACCACTCCACCATGCGTGGCCGGGAGGGAGAGCAGCTTCCCGAAAACCCTCGGGATCGGGGAGAGTTAGCCTCACAGCGTCACGATCGATCTTTCCCGAGAAGTCGGGCTTGGTCACAGCTTGCTCCCACGTGTCGCAGGCATAGTCGAAGTACTGAACAGCCGAGGGAACAAGTGTGTCGAGAAACTCCTCTGAGGAGCAGAATCCCTCGACCACGGCCTTGCGGTAGTGATCAAGAAAAACCGCTCCTGCAGTAGACTTCAGGAAGGTCCGCCTACCTTCCTCAATCCCATTCTCCCTCTCGACCAGAGCCTCATCATTCGCCTTGACCAAGTCGACCCTCAGCTTTTCGGCCTTACGAACGGCCGCGTCCTTGTCAGAGCGGAGTTTGGCGATGACGGTATTAGCGGCCTCAAGCTCCTCCTCCTTGGCCACAAGCTCCTTACACTTAGTTGTGTACTGCTCCCTCAGAGTCTGGATATTCGACTCGGGGGAGGTCGCCTCCTCGATCATGGTCGGGAGAATGCAGGCGAGAAGCTGAAGAAAGAACAAACAAACAAAAAATAAGAAATGGATGCAAGACCGAAAAAAAAAACATAAGAAAAGCAAGCAAGTATAAGATTAAGCTTACCCGAGGAATGAGCCGAGCTGCGTAACGGGCCCGATGATAAGGGCTGCCGTCGGTCCGGACTCTGTCGTCCTCGGGAAGAACCGACTGAAGATAATTAAGGATCTGGAGGGAGTCAGGGTTGTCATAGAGCCGAGAGGGTTGTTGGAGGGTTATCGGCTGAACCCTCACGGGTGACGGCTGCCTTGTACCCCCCTCAACTGGGAGCGTCGTTGCGTCGACCTCAGCTGTCGACTCTCTCCCCTTCGGGCGTTTTGAAGAGTAGGGGGCCGAGGCTTTGTCCCTCTGGTCGTGAGACCTCTTGCGAGAAGGACCCGACGACTTGCCCGGCACAGTGGCCGAAGGGAGGACAACTCTAGACTTCTTAGCGGCAGTCGTCTCGACCGCCACCGACGGAGCAACAGAACCCGAGCCGCCTCCAAGCTCTTGGGCAACCGAGGCATCAGCTGCCTTAACCTTCTTCTTCTCGAAGCGAGCCAATGCTTTTACTAAAAAGGAAAGGGAGAGTTATCAATACGAATAAACACATAAGTCGTGCATATATTTCAGGTCAACGCAGAAATACGAGGCCAAACCATCAGTAAATAAAGTGGAACAAGAGACGACAAACAAAGAAAGCTTACAAGGATCGCTAAGGCGAGGAGCACTTTTGTCAACACAAATACCAACATGGTTAAGTAAAGAAGTATCATTGGTAAGTTGACGAGCGCTCCACACATGTCCATTTAATTCTTCTAGCATGTCGGCAAACTGTGAAGAGTCGGGACGCTTACGTTGTTTTGTCTTACTAGTAATCCACTCATTCGAATAAGGATATTGACCATGAGCAGGTCGAATGAAGAAATACTTCTTCTTCCATTCGATAATATTGGAAGAGAGGTCGTCAAGGAAAGTAACACCTACTCGACGACCCAAACAATGGGCATCTTTGCTAAACCTATACCCGTAACAATAAAGGAAAAATTCGGGTAAAA